CTACACATACAATGTCTGTAACATGTGCACAAATGAAGCCCCCTCAACACACTGCACACAGAACCAACTGAAACCACTTGTAAAACATTCATCTTAAGTCAGTTAGGTAACAAGATGGAAATATAAACATAAATCAATTACACAGTGATGGCTGTAGCAAGCAGGAAAAAAAACTAAGGAATGGCAGCCATTGAATTGAAGATTAAAATGTTTCAACAACAGAGAACAATCCATAATCAGAAACAAAACATAATACTAACACGTGTGAAAATATCATTGTTCTAATCACAGTAAAATTTAAAAATGGTGAGCCTGAAAAAATGTAGTATTAAACATAAAAATTCTATCACACTGTTAACCTGCAAATCATAACCTTAATTGGACTGTTTCAAAGTGTATAAATAAAACAAAGTAATGTGGTAGGACAGGAACTTTTTCACAAAAATGTAAATGCAAACGAAATCAGACACAAATGGCATTGCGTATGAAAAACGGATAGACGCCAGGTGTACTTGACAAGTCACAACACGCCCAACACTTTAACCCGAATCATTATTCCGTCATGTGTCACTCTACAGATCAATGGTATCCCAAGAGTAACATTCAACTCCTAAATTCATATATATTTCTGTGAATCCGGATCAGGAGAAAAAGTTTCTTACCTTTTCAGTTGATGAGTTTATAATGACACGAAACACGATCCACCAATAAATTCCCTTTTCCAGTCCATTTCCTCACCAAAACATGAAACAGCCCACTTTACAGCAAACCAACACTCAATGACGTCAGCCAGTGCGACAGCCTTCAAGATATAACACGAAGTCAAACACACACATTCTCGGTGGGGCAAGCCGACAACCTTCGGATAAATGAGTGAACCCCGCCATTGATATGGAAAGTTTAAATTTAATGTGTAAGTAGTGTGACAATAAACAATTACTTACATTACTGAAATGGAAAAAAAGAAATATGTATGACTATATCCAGAGTCGGACTTTTACGTTCTGATGTCTCAAGCTATGTCAAGTTAAGAAACCTAAAAATTCAAAAGCCAAAGTATACATCGATTATTCTTATTGATCCTCAGTTATCATTGACACAGCTTGTTTCTTGTTTCTGTTCAGCAGTCTGGTAATGTTAGTTCTACTCCAATTTGAACCAGTTAAATTATATGGGGAGCTAGGTTAGCTGAGTCAGTATAGTGATTGGACTGGGCAACTAGGCTTTGATCCCCGACAGGGGCAGACAGGTTCTAGGGCTCACCCAGTCTCCTGTCCAATAGGTATCATGGTCATATCTCAGGGGTACAGCATGGCCAGGGCGTAATGCTGACCACTCACCCTATCTAGTGCCAAGGTTAAGAATCAGTAGGAGCTCACCTCTCTCCTCAAGTGCCTACATGGAGACAGCTTTACTTTTTTCTATAAAATCAAATGCATTTATTTGGAAAGCATGTTTCATAACCAAAGCAAGTGTCTGCACCAGGAGATGAAATTTGAAGTCACCCTTACAACTGCCCTTCCATAGCTTCTATTCCAATTTCCTTCACTAACAACTGTTATTAATTTTGTGGATCATTGTGGACATTTGTCCGAAACTTCAATCATACAACAATTTAAGCAGGTTCAGAACATAGAATTTAAAAATTTGTTTAAATGGTTAAGTTTAAACTACATTTATTTTAAGAATCATGGAAATGGAGTTTCATTGTAAAATAAATACAATTATAGAGAAGTCAAACAAAATTCAATTTATTTAACTTTATTGTCACATTTAAGAACAGATATTTTACACAATAATTTCAATAAACAATCAATTTTAAATTCTGTTAGTGTTACAATGTTATAGTCAATAGTAACAATGTTGCCCTAGTAGAATTTCAGGTTTTCACAGTGGTGAGTCCAAAGATGGCAGTCTTCTGGGTAATAGTGCTGTGTAGTTTGGTAGAAGTTTTACTCAAGTTGTTGCTCATTGCACTTATAATGAAGGCAGCAAGGAGCTCTGAAATGATGGTAAACTTCTGCCAGACTACACAGAGCTTATAACCCAAAAGACAGCCATCTCAGTGCTACCCCATTTTATGAGGGCCCTGTCATTTTTGTTTCCATGAAATGTTATGCCATTTTCACAGTATCATGATAAAGTGCTCTCACTTAATATATGGATTTTATACAACAAATCTCGTCAACATTTTGTTTCAGTACTTATCTAAAAGTCTTGACATATTTACATAAGCAATATTTTGTGCAAATCACAATGACCAGTCAGTTTTTCAGTATTTAACTGTGCCAGTCCATCTGCCTATTATTTACACTGCTAACAAGCATCATATAAACTGAGTACATTCCATACAATCACAGACAACATATGACACATGCATTCAAGATATACTGTTGCAGATTCCAGTATTTGCTGAATTCAAATTCAGCAGTCTGGGGGAATGAAATGTGTCGTAAGATACTTTTTGTACCTTACAAAATGTTATTGTTACATAATAAAAAGATTTATAAAAACATCACACAATTTAAAAATTAATATTCACAGCTGGCAGACAATTCAGCAGTTGCTGTCATATCAAGGTGAAGACAGTTTTCAACATTTACTAAAGATATGTGTCAACAGCAAGGTTATTTCATCCCTTGAATTTCCATAATAAATCTTATCTGATAGACTATAAACTTTTTCATCAAAATGTTATATATGAACTTAACATTGGTTACTAGGTCAATGCACAACAATTACTATCGAAAGTCACAATGGAAATGGTCCTGTAAATGAAAGGATAAAAACTGTACATCTTGCAACAAAATAGTCAATATAACAAGCCTTTAAGGAAAAAGTTGTTCAAAATGAATTTTGAAACTCTTATTTTATGTCAAGCTAATTAATGTTCCTTTAATATGAACCAGAATAATAGTACTTCAGTAAGTTTATGAGCTGTAGATTGCCAGTAATAACATATCAGAGTTAGAAGATAAGGACATGGGAATTTGCATTCAATTATTCTTCTTCCCTTTACCTCCAACTCAGACACACCTTCACTGATCAACTTAGAAATTCAGTCCCTCATCCTTTGTAAATCCTCTACAAATGACATAAGATAAGAAAGAATAATAGTTCTGAGCTGCAGACAAGCAGTTTGGCAGTGATTACATCAGCACACATCAAACTGATTTGTGTTCAATGAACAGTAACAGAATAAGTACATTAATTCTATCTTATTAACAGTACTCATGTTTGATAAACTGTTGTCATGGAATATTTGATCATACAATGACAAAAAAAAATTACAAACATTTATATTTTGTTAATTACAAAAACACATACACATCCTTTTTTATTCATAAGGTTTTGTATGTTAGTATAATAACTAAACTGCCTTTAACAAAGAGACCAGCCAAGTGCCAGGCCAAAAATATAAAATAATGCTTGAAATGTTCACTTTAAATCTTTCAGGTAAAGTTAGTAGAAGATACACATTCTTAAATACTACATTCACAAGTAATTTTAACATGCTAAGGCAGTGGCAATTGATGATAAATCTTGCTTTTAAATAACTTATTACACACTTATAAAGCCATGTCATGCTACAATTGAAGTATTTTATATCAATCATTCTGAATTAGGGATTCAGGAAAACCAAGTGTACTACAAATTAACTTTATTACAAGAGAGCACTCTTTATATGCATAAATCTATTTGGACCATGTCTTGGACTCAGCAAATCTCATAAAATACTGCATGTAGACAAATCAGGAATGTTACATTCTGGCATGACATTCCCCACTCAACCTCTGTAGTTATTGCATTTCCATACCAGCCATTTACCTCATATCTTCTTCAATTAAACGAAAATAATCAACACTCAAGTACCCTAATATCTTTTGTCTACATGATACTATTTTATGTCAGTAATCTCAATTGTGATACCAAAGGTAAACCATTTAATACATTAAGAATATAAAAACATCCCATATTATCAGCAGCCATCAATGGTTATATGAGCCATTCAACTACACACCATATATCCCCTGGGGTAGTACAGGGTGGGTGGGAAGTAAGTAGGCATTAAATAATCGCTGCATTGGAAATATAGAGGTTATAACCATTTCTCAATGCCTACTTACCTCCCACCCACCCTTGTATTTTGAATATGCTGTTATAAAATCAAATGAATTAGGCAATTTTTCTTAATCCTTACAAGTCCCTCACATTATTATTTTCCTAATAGTTCTGTATTATGCTACCCTAAAATATTGCATTAGACTGGGTTCCCATTTGGCTTAAATGGAATCCTTAAGCCACACTTTTACACTATTCAGGACATTTCCTCTATCACCATCAAAATTTTATATGCAAAGGCAGAAAACATAAATGCTGGTTCTTTTAGAAAGCCCTTGTGATCCACTACTGTCCAACAATGGATTTTAGAATAGCAAAATTGAACAAAATAATCAGCGGTGAATGCTTCAGTCTGGTTAGTTGTGAGCTGCTATACTATTGAAATTGTAGGAATATAAAAAATTCTACTTTTAATGAAAGCACCAATGTTTTGTCTGAAGACAGCAGTATGCATTGTGTAGCTTACACTAAATGTTACTTTTGTATTCACCAGGCCAAAGAAGCAGAGAGGTTCACTGCTCAATTAAGATTCCCAAAAACTGGGATTTTGTACATTCACAACTATGAACAACAGAGGGAGAATGTACAGTGTGTTAGCGCTACATGACCTGACTTCTATACCAGGATTCCCCAGTAAAGAATGTCTACACTGTATGTCTTGAGGTAATATTCATTTATATTTAATAATGATGATAATGATATAATAATGTAAAATCTCTATTAGCAAACACACTGATGGCTCATAAGGTCATGTATTGTAAGGAAAGAAAGATTAGAACGCATTCATGCCTGATATCGGAAGTTTTACTCAAACTCAGTATCATGCTGTAACTGGATCAACAGCATTCCACTGTAAGTAAGAATAATGTTTTGTGCTATCTCAGAGCCAATTAGAATACAATAAGAGAGCGGCAGGGAGATCCTACTCCCAGTGTTATAAAAGTAATCAGCATGTCAGTTCATGCAAGTTCTTCATTCTGCAGGATTTACCTTCCAAATTTCAAATGACATGCCAATTTTCTTAATCCTATTTCTGTACTGAAGACTATACAGAGAACAGTATGTGATTCCAAACAATAACAAAACCAATCACACCTGTTATGTTCTGTACTTTACACAAATACTCATTCATTTGCATGCAGAATTATCCAACCTAAATAATATATTCCTATGGAAATACTTGTGGTCTTGATATCTCCATGTTTCTCAGTATTCTGCATCTGCAGTTCAATGTTATTTTCTAAATATAGCCTTTAAGTTAATGAATTCTTACTTTCACTAGAAAATTCTGTATGAGGAATTTGTGTGCTTATCTTCATTTTCACATCATTTTTTGAATAAAATATTGTGTAACACTCCAAATTACTAGCAAAAATACCTTATTTTGATTACATTTAAAAATAACTAATAGAAAGGATGACTTACTGAACATAAAATCTGCACACAGATAGTCTAGTCTATCCTTTGGCCTTTCAGCTAAATTACCACTGAACGCCATCTACCATATAATATAGATAATTTATTGCTAGTAACAATTTTCATCTGTTAGTATCAGAACAGTAAAGATATTACAACTGAATTAAAAAGTTTTGTGTTAAATAAAGCAAACTACTGTACATATTCTCAAAGTAGTTCAGCAGAAGGGGAGATTTGAAAATACTTCCACAGATACAACACTATAATTTTACAGATTTACAATATTAATATTTGGTTTACAAGCAATCATTATGTAATTTTCAGACTTTACCTCCCCACTCTACCTCTTCAACTCAGTTGTACATTGCAAGATATATTTTAAAGAATTCAATATGACATTCTATCATATATACAATGTACATGACATCCTATTTCTCCATTAAAATACTTAATTTTCCATTCAGAATACTGGAGATTAAAGGTTACAGCCATCGTCCAGAAAATTAGTAATACAAAACTGCTGAACAAATTTCTTGTACTACACTAAATTTTACATAAGTTCTGTTGAACAGTGAAATATTATGGCAAGTCCTGCAAGTTTTATCATAACTGTCTCATGACAATTTGAAAACAATCGTGGAGAATAACAAATATCTAAACCTTCACCTATCACTTAATTCTATGGATATAACTGGGTATCATATTTTCAACTACAACATAAAAGTACAAAAGATATGTCCTACAAATGATAACATTATTTGAGTCTGTAACACCTATTGTAAATAGTAACATTTATAAATAACAATTTAAAATGGATGTGGATGTACAGTTTCAAATAAAATAGTACTCTAAAATTACTGACAGTACTATGATTATAAAGAGTATCACATTCACAAACAGCACTTAAATAAAACCATGATGTCATATATTTTACAAGCAAACAGAACTTCACCTATGATTATATTATTCATTTTTTATAAAAAATACTAGTAGTAATTTTCTTTGACTTTCAGAAATGTTGCATTTATCATAAATGTTAAGTTCTGATTACAGAAAATTAATAGCTGTAACATACAAAATCATGGCAATATTTAAGTTTCAAATTACATTATACATGTAGCATGAACTAGTTCACACCACAGAGTAAATGAATACATAGTTTAAAAGATAATACATCACTCTAGCTAATATCATCAATATCACAAAGTTCAAATTTTTAACAAGAATTCTAGAAGTGGTAAAATGAATGACAATAGGCTTTAACATAGTAACTTGTGGGGATTTTCAATCCCCTGCAATCAATTTCAATAGATGGTTTGGTTACATTAAGCAAATAAACATACATTTTTCATAAAGCTTACATTTCAATGTTTAAACAACAGTTTAGATTTCAAATCATATATAAATAATTCATCCTTTATAAACATAATTTTGTCATGCAAAAAACTCCGTGAAGTCCGTGTTGAGTTCAAGTGCTTCTACCAGTTATCTGCAATACCATTGCTACTTACTGTCATCGATGAAGACGCTTTGAGTTCTGAACCAGGAGCAGCACTCCTACAGAATGTGTTCTGATGACTTTTCAGTTCTGAATATGAAAATTACAATGAGAATTCATTAAACAATTTTTTTTAAAATTTAAGACAAATTCTAAAGTCATAGGTATGCATATATCAAACTTAGCCCATTTAAAATATCAAACTATAAAACCAAAAGATAAAATAATAGTGTTATTATTATTCAACCTTCCATCAAACTATGCTCACTTAAAGATGAAAATTAAGAATCTGTTGTTCTACATACCTGTGCTTACCCACAGCATTTTTCGACGAGCTCCGACTGTACTAATTCCAATTTCACGAAGATCAGAATCAGTGAGTGAAGCAAAGGTAGTCAAATCTATCTCATGTTCGGTAAAATTCTCTAATGACCAAAAGAAAAAATCCACATGAGTTATTCGTTACAGTCAAGTATCACACATGTGCAATAAATATTTGAATAAAGTTCTCCCAGTTCTAGCAGAAAATGTTGGGAGAACTATTAAAAAGGACTCATGAACTCTATGAATAGATTTGCATGAAACTTTGTATTAGTAATCCATACCAAGAAATGTACATACTAAATTAATTTTTGTTTATACTGGACAACTTGACTCCCATCATTATATAAAATTCCAAGTTTGGACTCCAACAAACAATTTCTAATTTCTCTATACAGTTCAGTTTAAAGTAAATATTAACATTTCTTAAGAAACATCCGAACCAAAAGCGATACTAGTGAATCACACTAACCAGTCAAGGATGCGGCTTCATTTTAATAATTTGTAGGAACATCTCATACAATATTCAAGATCTATAAAATATTCAGAATAAATATGGTATATTTTCATAGTATCATGAATAGGATAATTATAGCTTTACTCTTAATAACATTTCCAAGAGGCTACATTTATTTTAAATAAACTGTCCATTTGTGTAGTCTCAAAACAAAGAACACAGTATTAAATTAAATTACCTAAGTAATCAAGTTTATATTCATACTTACTTATGTATTTCTCTAGTCCCAGTGCCATAAGTAGAGTACCCAAATCTTTAGGGTTCCATCCAGCAATTCTGTTCACAGTAGAGGTTGGGATAGAGTCAAGGTAGTTGCTGGCACCGAGAGAAGGAACATCAGAATAATTTGATGATGTACATGGAAATAATGAAGGTGATGAAACCAAATTTGAATTTGTGGGACCATCTGTACCACAAGCTTCCTGTAAAAAAATATTTAAAATAAAATTCATTAAGCCTTCCATGAGACATAATATGATAATACATCAATCTAGAGGGTAATTAAACAGACCTACTTCTGTCAGATACAAATCTATTTCTCCACTCACACAAAAATTTAATTGAATTAGGTAGTGAACAACATACTACAAGTAAGAGATGGTAAAAGAAATTGGTAATGGAGTTTAATTCAAATTTTAAAATTTATATACTTGTACAATTTAATGTCAATTGTGGTCTTCTGGGTTTGTGACACCATGCAGTCTTGCAGGTGATACCACTGTTTCAGAGGAACATTCATTAGCAGGTACAAGACTACATGGCATCACAACTCAGATCAGAACAGACACATTCCCCAACATAAAAATCTCAAATTTCAGATGTAAAATCTATTGTCACTAAACTATTTACACATTTTAGTTATAAATTATTCTTCTTTGTAATTTACGATATTTCATTGGCCATAATTTATTCTTGAAACAAAGTTATTTCAACACAAATTTAGTACAATGCTTATGGTAACTGTTCCTTCACTACTGAGTTAAAATACAAGTACATCAGCAAATAATGTTAAAACTTTGTATTTTGAACCTGGATAGTCTATGAATAAAATACTTCTTCATAAACCATTAAACATTAACCAAAAAAATGTTCCAAAAAAGAAAGCTGTAGAACTTAGATGATAAACATTTTTGTTAAAAGGGCCACTGTTAAACTTTCAACTTCATGAATGTAGGTTATATTCAACACTATAAGATAAAAATTAAATTTGCAAGAAATTTCATCAAACTCTGATCAGTAGTTTCAGATATATGACATGCTGGCATGCACACAGATGGGCCAGATACTACTTTCCTATTATGCAGTCTCTGCC